GACAAAACAAAGCTCTTGTTGGTAATATTTACTTCGCACGCGTCCAGTTCAACAACTCGATTTAGCTACCGGCAAGTCCCGGCCCCCAGGATTGTGTCATCATGCAAAGTCAAGGAAAATATTACTATAGAATCAGTACGAGAACCAACTGAGACGGTAGGGTTAGTTCGGTGGTTAGGGTAGGTACGGGTGCGGAGCGGGTGTCGTTTTGGGTTAGGGGTTTTAGTGTTAGGTAGTTGGAGCTTATTATTATCTTGGCTTTAACTACCATTATTATTAACTACCAGTATTATCTTTCTTGGTATGGTGTTACGTGTACTGGCAATTTAATTTCCCTTGTCTCCTAAGGGGCTTGTCTCCTAACACCCAGAAGCCCCGGGCACCACAACTTGAACATCCAACCCAAAATATTACGCGCTCCGCACCCCTATCCACCCTAACCACCAAACCCAACCCTACCCGTCCACCGGCCATGTGCCTTAGGAGACAAGCCCCTTACGAGACAAGGGAATTGATTCAATACGTATGACGTATGCAGCCATGGTTGGGAATCGGTTGAGGCTGCCGGCCGCCGGGCACTTCCGACCAACACTTGAATGTTATAAACCTGGCTGAAACAAACAGGGCATAACCCTAATACCAAGTCACCGTACCGTAACCACAATGCACATGCCCCTAGGTCGTGACTCGTACCCTCTGGAGTCTGGAGTCACTGGTCAGAGCCGGCCCACCCCAGCCCATGCATTTCCTAACCCCTCAACCAAACCCTACCAAAGTCACTCGGCTGCGGCCCATCAGTGCCCGGTTGTGCAGAAACGTCAGCGATTATTGTCATTCGGCAATGATCACATTGATGTCCGTACGTTCCGACGGGATTGACTGAGCGTGACCCGTCCATCTAACTTTCAAGTTTTATCGGGACAAGTCACATGAAAGTTGCAGTGAGCATCCTACGGCCGCGCAGCGCGGCGCGCCATCTCTTCAAATTTCGCGCCAATTCCCGTCAGTGTATGGCAGCTACCTACCGGCACACTGTACATAGACTGAAGTGCGGTGTACAGAGAGTGACTAGGGAGTGACTCGCGATTTGCAAACCGTCTGCTTGCAAAGCAATGCAATTTGCAAAACGAGCACCTCAGTGATGCACCTGCAATTTACTAAATACCGGTAGGTAAGTACACGTAGGTATTATGTGAGTCACACTTGATTTGCAATGCGCAGATTAAAGATGCGTTGCTCCACCGTCCGCTCCACATCATTCAATTGCATTGATATTCCGATCTACAAAAGTATACGGTCGTGGGAACTCTTTCAGATTGCACATCGAGCTGACGTGGTGCTGCAGAGCTGCAGAACAGCTGTGCAAGTCTATCCATTGAAGCACAATGGATAACGCTGAGGTGCTGCAGCGGCGTTTGGGAATGACAGAAAACCTGCAGAGGATCAGCAGCAAGACAAAGGAGCTCGTCCGGCTGTGCAATCTGCGCTTTGAAGCTGGTTTGGGTGCGGTAAGTGGCACTATTAGTATTACATGTTTCTTGCCAAGTCCAGACGAAAGCTCGGTGTTTCCTGCACGAATCAATCCTCTGGAGGCTTTTGAAAAGATTCGGTCCTGAGGCTGTCATGTCCGAAAAAGTTTTATTCTACTTACTGTAGCAGCAAAATGTTCTCAGTGCCAAGCTGCTTCTGGACTCAACATAGTCGGCTTCGTATGTTGCTCGGCTCAGTACTAAGCCACTCAATATAGCTTACGAGTGCTTCCATGGCAGGGTCTTGGCCACTTGTGAGCTGATCAGGTCTTGAATGACAATCCAGGACCAGAGCCTGGTTGATGTTGCAAAAGGAGGCAAGCCAAGATCTCCATTAAGCCTTGCACAGCTTGCGGATGCATCCTCTTTCTCGCTTCATTCAAAATCCTCTGAAACCAATCACTCTTTGCACTTGGCCCCAAAGCTCAAAACGGGCAGCCCGTGTGCAGGGGGAGATATGCAAGTACATGGTGTGCCTCGAGCTTGCTTGTGTTAGGTGAGCTATATGATATAGTCCCCTTCAAGCTTTCTTTCAAAAGCAGCCTACAGTATCCTCCAAATGTTGCTCATGTGGATCTGTGATCCACGGACTGCAATGTTGTTGAATGCTCAGCGCGTCCGTCCTAGCAACATGCATTTGCAGTCTCTGGGCCCATGACTGGTTACTTTGCGGTTCAATCTGCTTGACGAGGCTTCTTCTTAGATCCCACAGTGCCTTTAATCGCTGGCAGTCTTAGGGCAGCACATTGGGTTTTATCTTCATTTAGGACAGAACTTTTCAAGGTGACTCTCAGTATGCATGCTCAGATCCTCTGGTGGATGATGGCTGCAGCTTGCAGGAGAGCTTCGACCGGGCCAAGGGCGTACGACACAGTGGTGCCAACGAGAAGGTCTATGCGCAGACTTACTTGAAGGTCCAGAATGTCCTGGGTATCCGGTGAGATTCGAAGCTCCGGGCTGTGCTGTGAAGAGACTCCTCGGAACTGATGCAGATTGAAACGTACCAGGCAATGCTGAATAATGAAATCTTCAAAGTATAAGTGCGGAGAAGGTCTTGATTTTTGTCAAATTGTATCTTCCCTCACCTTATTTGGCGGCGATGGGATGAGCTTTTGGTCCTCGGAAGCGAAGAGCCACATGACTATTGCTTGTAGCGTTGTCCAGTACTAATGTGGACTGTAGCTTTTGCCCAATCCTTTCTGCTTATACATCTGGGTAGCCAGCTAATTAAGTTAGCAGATGAAGGCCGCTGTGTGGTTTGTGCCAAGTTGTGACTTTTCTGAGGGTGCACCTGTGATCTGGAAAAGTTGATTGCCAGTGGCCCTCAAGTTCCGTTGCATTTGGAGAGTCACTGGAATCAGGACTAGGGGCAAGTCAGATGTTGAACCGCTATTTAATTGGAGAAGTCAGTTTTATAAGGTCAACAATTGTCTGTGGGTTTTAGTGCTTTGACACCCCGATAGCCATGTTTACTCCAACCTCCTTCTTATCACTGTAGAAATGTGATTTGGTACTTTGAGGTACAGTTTGGACCCAAAAATCGAGGTGATGGGCAGGGGATGGGCCGTCTAAGCCACAGACAAGTAGACTTTCTGTCCTGTAGTTTTAGATTCCTGTCAAGTTGAGAGGGCTGGTGACGCTTGCCCAAAACTTCGGCCAATGTCATATTCCTTGTTTCTTGTTGCAGGCCTAATATTGATGCCCGCGCGCTATGCGTGCGCTTTGGGTGTTTCAGAATGGTGGATGCAGTACAGCGCGCCTTGACAGAGTGAGCACGATTCTTCAACGAGCTGCTTGTCCGGCCCGGCCCAATTATAAAGTTGCCTTGCTTATACATATTCTTACTCTGTCCACTCATTGCAGCTTTTCGGAGCTTAATGAAAGCGCTGTCCTTGCATACTCCACTCGATCTGCGCGTCAAAGTGTGCTGGACGCTCAAATAAAGCCCTTCTGTTTTGCAGCATGGACTGTTTGACCTAAGTTCTTCTACTCTGTCCAGACTAGATTGTTATCTGGTTTTGATGGATTCTGAACAGTTGACGGACCTTCTTTTCGTGGGCAGCTACCGCACTCGGTTCATTGCGGGGCTACCGGAAGTCAAGAAGAAAAACGCGGACTTCAGCAGGCCGGTGTTCCTGGGGGCAGCGTTCTACCTGGCAGCCAAAAAGCGCAAGGTGGGGGCATGGCGTCGTTTGGCTTCTAAGCTCGTTTTTGCTTCAAATTCTTATGTACATCCGCAACTCTGCTGCCGTTCCTTTGGAAGGCACATCAAGGGGTACCTGCTTTTTTCCAATAAAAAAGGGGACAATGGACAGCAGGAGTCCGTTTCTGAGCTTTCTAACCGGAGGTCTGGTGATTGATAATCAACTGCCCCGGCAGCTTGTGCAAATGCTTTCGAAAAATGAAGTGTGGCACCCTGGTATGCAGTGCTCAGTTCTGCCCTCTCTAGTTGACTCGAAACGCATGGTTCCGATCAGATTTTGTCTACACTCAGGACGCACTTTTGTCGCAGTGCAGGTGAAAGTCGACAAAGGGAAGATCATCCAGGCGTGCGGGTCCTCTGATGCCGAATTTGCAAACGTGAGTGCCGAAGCTTACCTGCTCGCTTGCAGTGGCCTACATTTAGGTCCACATGCAATCCAAGAAATTTCTGATCCAGAAGCTTCCTCATTGTATATGCTTGTTTGGCGAAGGGGCCGCATTCTTGATTTTTACTGATAAAAAAAAGTGCACTGAATCGGAGTGAGACAAGTCAGAAAGTGAAGAAGCAAACCTAACATGCGCGTTTTGCAGGTCACAACTTCGATGTACGACCTCTGTTTTGACACGCTGGGCGTCGAGAAACGGAAACGGGCTGCGCAGGAGATCAAGGCGAATCGAGGTCTGTCTTTCTGCCCTCGCTCTCGTTCCAAATGATTCATCACGCAGAACCACGATCTCAGAAGTCAGCAGTCTCTCGTCCTCAAGCAGAACGCCTCTGAAAAAAGCTTCTCACAAGGACATGTCGAGGCGTCTGGAAGTGGGAATTTGAGAACGATGACGATGTACGAATGGCGAGTTCCTAAGGGGTCCCTAAGTTTGGACGGCTTCGGTTGATGTCTAGCATTTCGCACAGCAATCTGTCGTCAGAGCTTATCTCAAAATCTGCGACGTAGCTGGCAAGTAAGTCTTCCAACGGTCGGAAGATTCCTTAAAGCTCGGTGGAAGAAACCGGCTGCTAGTCACATTGCCCAGCTTGAATCTGCATAGTAGCCTGAATGATTTGCAAACTGCTTCCTGTTGGAGCGTCGTCTATCTCCGTTTTGCTTTGAGTCGGAGTCATTTGAAGCCCTTAAAAATGATGGGCTTCGCGTTAGACCCATACCTGCTTCACCTCCGTTAGAAGCAAGCAAAATGTGCCGCAATCTGGTGACTGGTTTGCTTTCGTCAGAGCTTTTGGACGCTCTTCCTGAGAAGCGAGCTCGTACGACGTCCGAAAGCGACGAAGAAGAGACCAGTGCTGGAGACGATATCGCTGCGGTAAGCTTAAGTGAAGATCAGAGTCATTGGGAAGAGAAGCTCAGATTCTACAGCCCACTTGTGAACAGAGTAGCTTTCTCGGGCTCCGTTATAAGCGTAGCGACTGGAACGATCGCGGGGGGCTGCTCAGAAAACTTGCAGTAGATGCGCAAGGACTTCGGACACGCGGTTCCTGTGACCATCTGTACGGTCGAACAGTCACGCCCGGAACAGCTGCGTCATCCAACCACGAGTGAGAGGCGCTGCTCTGCAGATCTTCGTGTTACAGATCAGACGATTGCTGCTGAAGTCGATTGATAGAGTTGCAGAAGGTTTTTGGTTTAACAACGAAGGCTGACTTTCAGCCCGTTGAGTGTCGACAGTCTAATACACCGCTCTTTTGCTCCTCTGCTGTTTTTGTTCGACGAGTTCGGAATTGTCTCTCGCAAGCCTCAGTCTACAGCCAACAATCTTTCACAACACCTTCTGCAAAACGTTCTTGCTTGGATTTCAACGGTCGAAGCAGATTGTTGGTTTCAAGGGTTCTTCAATCCTTCAGAACGGAAATGAATTGCAATTCCCGATAGGTGCCGGCATCCATTTTATTGACAATTGACGTGATCTTCTGACTGTCAAGTGACGTCATCTCTTTGAGCGTAGTTGCCGGGCACTTCGAAGGCGAAGGCCGCTCAGGAGAAGCAGCAAGAGTACGAGGAATGGAGGCGGCGGGCTCTCGCTCCACTGTCGAAGCTGGCAAATGAAGCTCAACCCCGCAATACAAGACCCAGTGAGTCAGGTTTCCGGTTCTACAGATTGATCCTTTGTTCTAGTCGTTGATCTACTTGGCTAACCTTGTATGCGCTGTGCAAATCTAAGACCAGGGGCTTGAATCTGATTGCTACAAGACAGACGTTTTCCTTCTTATAGCTCCAGTCTCATCCAATCAAACCCGAACGTCATACTTTTCTCAAGCCCGGGCTTCCTGCTTTCGATTTGTTGTTATCTTGGTCCAATCCTGTCGATTGTCCTGAACGCTTTCTCTGCTCCTTCACGAAGTCAGCATCGCCTTGAATATTGCTGGATCTATGAAATTCGGACAGGTTTCGGCTTTCCCTCCGGAAGACTCCCTGTCAACTTCGCGGAGTTGTTTAAAACGAGACCATTACGTTCAACCGGTCCTCTTTCTTGCAGGTTCACAACCCGGCTTGAAGCAAGCAAAGCTGTCATTCTCGAAGCCAGCTCGTACTGTAACGGCGTAATGCATTTGGTTCGGTGACATTATATAGCTTTTATTATCGCCAGAAACATTCACATGAAAGAAACCTGTTGATGACTGCAATTCTCTCCTTCAACATTTCAGCTAGACACGCTTGTTGATATGACTTGGTTGCAAAGTGGATATGTTGGTGGACATTGATTGATCTGACATCACCGTACATATTGCAGGTAAATGTGAGCTCAGTTGCGAGCTTCTTGAACGTATGCAAAAAGCTCTCCATCGGCTGAATGTTCAGCAGAGAGCTTCTCATGTGCTTATAATCGTCGCTACAGAGTACTGGGTGCAGCACGGTACAGTCTGTTGTTTTGTCTGTGTGCCGTCACTTGTCTGCAAGTCAATCTGATTCTGAGACTGGCTTCATGCTTGAGCAGCTGCCTTGCGCAGCTGATCAAAACAGCGTTTACAATAAACAGTGGCACGTATTCATTGCCATAGCAATGTGGATGTAACTCATTCCCCCATGCCACCTGACATTCTTCAGAGCAGCTAAGCATGGCAGCTTCGCCAGATCATGAGCCTTTCACTCTTTTGACTTTCGCGACTGACCAATGATTGAGGCCAGCAACTGAAGGAAGCAAACGCCTGTGCGCGCGGATCAGGCCCCCGGTGATCAAGGAAGCCTTCGCAACCGTCCGATGCATCTGTAAGATTGACGTGGCGCTAGCTCCGCCGTTGCGAATCACGGAAAACTCCAAACATGCTCGCAGGCACACGTACTGCTATATAGCCTATAGGCTTAGTAGGACGTTCCTCTAGTACTAGTAGGACCTCCTACGTGCTTGCAGCTTGGCCCTCTTCAAGAACATACGTCACAAGTTCGCTCTTCAATACACAGTTTGCAGCAAAGCATCTTTGGGAGCACGTTTTCCACAGCATTACTCAGGGGATTGCAGCTGGCGTAGGCTTTGCAGAAAAAGGCCGCTCAAGGCGTGCGCCACACCGGTAAGCTCAAAGAAATATCCTGCCTACGCATCCTTCAAAGACGTGCAGCTGGAAAGTGCTTCCATGTAATACACGAGTGTCAAGCAGCTTTGTTTCATCTCAGGGCATATCAAAAGGGTTAGAAAGAGGGATTTTCAATCAGAAACTGTTCCTCTTGCGGCGGTGTCAATTGTCCGCTTGCAAAAGTTTTTTTTAATTATTTTGGCCAAAACAAGAACCTACTTTTGCTTTTCAAATAGAACTTTTGTACAAGTCCCTTTTCTCAATGTTGCATTCACCCTAAGTGCAATGAAGTGAGCTGATGCTTGCAAGCATTTTTAAAGGGTTTGATTGCTGTGGTCAGCGTGTGTTGTTCAAGGCTCCTTCATCTGCTCGGTTGTGGCTTCTTAACCAGTCCTCCAGTACGCTGCACCTTGGGACAAATGATTTCTGGTTCTAGAAGAACCTTATTTTGCTCTTACTTCCTGCCTCATGATATGAGCAAAGAGTGATACAACAATCCACTCTGAAACAACGCTGGTTCTTCACAAGTTCCCGAATGTCTGGAAAAATATCATCTGCTTCATCCATTCAATGATTGACTGAAACATGTGCATGGGGAACAAGTGGTATCCACATTGTGCACAGGGAGACCCACAGCGAGGTATCAAGGAAGCTTGACGAAGCTGCAAGTGAGAAAGGACACTGGATTTCATTGATTCTCTTGAGCTGTCAGCCAAGACGTTGTTCACAGTGCGTTCTAGCACCCCCATATAGATAGCTGTGTTTAAAGTGACCTACCTCCGAGAGTGCTTCAAGAGCAAAATGTGATGGCTTTTATGTAGTGCTTTATTTCTATCCCATAGGTACCAATCTCTCTCGTCTTTCGACAGCGGGTGAAGGCACATATCAGGCAGCCAAGATGGGGTTGATCACCGAGGACAAGACCAAGATTGCCAAGGCGATTGGCGCTATCCAGGTGCACAAGGTGGTGGGGCCAGGAGACGAGCAAATGGTTGCATACCAGAGTTTCTGGGATGGCCAGGTGCGATCTATTTCCGCTCCTCCTCTAGTTGGTCAACTTCATTGGTACAGGAGCCACAGGTCTGAATATGTTCAGGATTGGCAGCCCCAGACAATCAGACCTTTTTATTTGAGGGAACATAGCATTAAGACCTGCCAGCACATAGAGCAAGGGATGCAAACCCATACTCAATGGGCTGGTCAGCTGGGGCTTTCCTTCGCGCCGGCATTTCTGTTTCGCGAGAAGGGCTCTTTGCTGTTGGTTGCGCTAAGCACAGCGGTTTGGGACTTACTGGAGTTAGTGCACTCTGGATGGTCTTCTGAAGGTGTCTTTCTTTACCTGGGCTAAGTATTTTATCGCTTCAGTTCAGCACGTGGTATTTTGATCAGTGCTCCCTTCTGCAAATGGGTAAAGTTGAGCGATATGCGCCTTTGTGAACCTTCTCTTGTTGTGGACCCCCCTTTCCGTCATTGGTGTCTGAAGCTTAGTCCGCTTCTTGGCGCTATAGCCCAGCTTATACTTCACTGATGCGGCACTTTGGCTGCCGCGTTCGGTGCGGAAAGTGGGGGCATGGGGCAGAGCTGGGCGAATCCATACTTATAAGCCAGAGTATTTCTGACTGCTCTTTTTGGCTTCTCTTTCCTCTCTCCATAATACAGCCAACTTTGATCCGCCTCATGCGATGCTTCGGTTGCCGCCTCTGCCAGGGGGATGCCTTTGAGCTCAGCGAAGGGCATTCGGGACAGCGAAGGGCATTCAGGACTGCATCTAGACCTCTCTTTCCTCTCCGTATAGCACGAACGGTTTTCATTCACTTTGTGGACGCTTTGGCTGGTCTCTGCAGAGGGTGTGCTATCGAGCTCCAACCGCCTAACCCAACTGGAAGCCAAGTGCATTCCCCACTTTCTGAACCCGTCTCTCTCCCTAAAACAGCTGGCTTTCGTCCACCTGATGCGGCGCTTCGGCTGCTGCTTCTGCCTAGAGGGGGCGATGGACCTCAGCCGGGCACTCCCCCATTTGAAAGCCCAAGTGCATCTTCGAATTCTCTCTGACCCTTTCCTTCTTCTCTTTGAAGGGCATATTTGGCCCCATCCTGAACCAATTTTCTTCCCTCTGCAATACAGCCGGCTTTCATCCACCTGATGCGGCGCTTCGGCTGCCGCCTCTGCCGGGGGGGAGCGATGGAGCTCAACCGAGCGCTTCCCCACTTGAAAGCCAAAGGCGTTCGGTGCATTGCGGTTGGGCTGGAGCGCCTGGGAGTGGACGAGTTCGTGGAGGGCAAGTTTTGGGACGGGGAACTGTACATAGACGATGGGAAGAAGGCGTACAAGGCACTGCAACTGCAATCGACGGGTGAGCGCAAGTGGTTCCTAAGTGGATCGAACATTTTAGGAACGAGGACAAACGACACAGAAGAACGTCACAAGTTGTATACTCTGCAGCATTCCCTTCGTTGCCTTCAAGTTTGGAAACTCTCTCGCCGAAGCATTCATTTGAGAGACGGCGCACATTGCTTTGACATCTCTGCAGTCGTTCTTGTTCCAAGTCCATCTCTTGAGGGTAAGGGAACGCCACTTTGCTTGTTCCTCGTCATCCGCCTTCGTCTTACTGTCGCAAGTCTGAAGACCATCTTATCTTGTCTTTCTTGTCTTGTTTAGGCCTGCTCAAGGGGATCATGGCGCTCGGGTTCAACAAGTCGGTCAAGGACGGGTTGAGGAAGACCACCGAAGTGCCGGGCGACCTGAAAGGAGACGGAATGTGAGTGTACAGGTCGCCTCAGAGAATCCAGGCCATCATCCACTGTCGTGTTTTACGGTACTTATACGCTCTGATTGACCGCATAGGGACTCTCGCTTAATCGTCCCTTCTGCTACGTGGTTTTCTCAGGTTGCAGAATCTGCTTTGATTTTCTCAGGTTGCAGAATTAGACTTACAGACGTCGCAGTTGAGCTGAAGTACTTCCATGTTTGTTTGTTGCGCACTGCCAAGAGGAGTTGCGCTGCCGCCATTCTTCGTCCTGTCTAGCCTAATTTAGAATTTCGAATCTGGTACATAATGAAGAGGACCGTGAAGTTCGTTTGTCAACGGACACGAGAAGCCAGAGCGTTGGAGAAATCTCGTCAGGACATGGGCGTCCTTCCAGACCGATTGTGCTTTAGTAGGTATTTCAAAAGTTCCTTGTACGTATAGCCGTTTGAGAGTCTGTCAAAATTTCTGTACTATCTTTAAAGGAGCTGCAGGTGACACCATCCTCCAGGAAGAAGTTCCAAAATCATAGAGCGAAACCAGTCTGCAGACTCTCTTTCTAGAACAGCTACTGCTCTCGAGCATCGATTAGCAAGAAGCCGCAAGCGCAGGGCCTCAGGTTCGCTTTGATCTTTTGCAGGCAACTGGGGGCCACGTTCGCGTTCGCTCAAGGGGGCGACCTCCTCTTCGAGTTCCGCCAGAAGAACTTCGCCGAGCATCCCACGTGCGAACAGGTCCTGCGCGCCTTTGGCATCGATCCCAGCCTACTCAACGTAAGGAGATGCATACTGTTGGAAATCTGGATTCGCTTTGTCTTCCCCTATCAGACTGCCTAAGTTTGTGAATCGCGCTTATCTCCTCGGAAGTGCAAAAGCTCTTGGAGCAAATGGGTCATTCAGTGCGGTAGGGTGTTGATTCAAGAAAGGACATGACACGGAACGGGTACCCCGTAGCTCGATTCGAACAAAACTTCTTGTGCCGTCCACATGTCTTGGTCAGAGAACCTCGCTTCTGCAGCGAACCTTGCTTTCTTTTCGAACATTCGCGTGTTCTTCCTCCCGCCAACATGAGGATCGATAGCTTACCAACTCTAACGCAATGCAGCCCCAACGTCCCGCCATTGAGGGACCCTGCATATTGGTTGTCATTTGAGGGTGTGCGGACTTCGAAAGAAAAGCAAGTGTTCTGCCTTTTGATTGGGCTGACGTCGCGGGGCGCATTTCTTGTTCGCTATTTCGGCCAGAGAGTTCAAGGTCGCTGGGTTGCTAAGCCGGCTGCGTCTGTAATGTTCAACCTCGCAGAACAACCCGCTGAAGTAATCTCAGGGAGGCCGAGAAACTGAATCCGGGGAGGATGCGCACTGCAGCAGACAGACTGCGTATAGGATCCGCCAACTCTCGTGTTGTCACCCTGACGTACCTCCGTTTACGGTCCGAAACCATCCGTTGGCAGCCACATCAAGCACTGGCCAGCGTTTGCTACTAAGTACGTGAAATCGACGAAGCCAAGCAACAGCGTATAGTTACAATATTCAAAGAAACAAAGGGCGCCGTCCCCTCAACGGTCAAAGAGAGGCACTATTTGCTTTCAGGCAGCCGGGCAGAGAGTTTGTCGTTGTGATGCTCAATCGATTTCCGGTCTCCTTTTGCAGGAAGCTGTCAAGGACTCAGTGATGGCCTCGTGCGCCATCCAAGAAGAGGGGGCGGAAGGGGTGTGCACTAGCATCGCAGAATGATGAATGCTTTCGGGGCCTAGGCAACGACATGACTTGACTCAATACAATAGAAAGCACGCGTTTACGATGTACATAGTCCAGGAGGAGACTTTAGTAACGGGCCATAGGGAGCTGGTTAGGGCTTGCAATGAGAGAGTGTCGGTGTTGTTATCTTAGCATGCGGATCGCCGAGACGTAGAAGTATCTGCTCTCTTTTGGTCTGCTTTGGATTGCGTCTGGTAATCTAGGTTGCAGCTTAGCGAATCCAAGAGCTCGATAGCTGTCCCCATTACTTAAGGGTGCGTTGATTCTGAGCCAACAGTGCACTCAATCATGGCCTCTTTCTTCGTCTTTTAGCACTCACGGGTCGTGCTACACATCCGTGAAAGTTTACACAGGAGCACATGCTAGGAGTTGCAGGGTCTTTGTTCACATGCTAGTACACCATACAACGCCACCGTGCGTCTACTAATTGCATCGAAGACGGCATGGCAAGACCCTTCGCCATTTAGCTTGCACTGAAGTGGCGCCTAGCCTGGATGCCATGCAGCTCGTAACCAGGATGTGACAGCCAACACCGTGTGGCCGGGTCCACATAATTCAATGAAATTCGCCGTTGTCTAGGTTGTTCAGTAATGATGCGCGCATGATGTACAGGCGATGTTCGGACATGGTGACCGTCCCTGATCGCGCTTCAATAGCTACAGGCTTCAGCTTTGTGATGCGTACGCGCACAGACGTCGGACGGATCTCGGTTGCCATGTGTTGACTAATTAGTTTCATGCAGTGCGAGCAAATGCGCATGTGACAAAGATTTCTATATGCACGCATTGCGCCGCCATAACATTAGAGGCAAACACCGCATGCAAGCTCAGTGATTGGCGGCACGGCTCACATGAGCAATGATACATATGCCATTTGATGCATGGCTCATACATGTGAGTGTGCCAATAACTAAAATTCAACTTAAGTGAATGATTGGCACACTCACATGAAACGGTTGGACTGCATATGTTCACCGCGCATGGCGGGCGGCCGACGTTGCAGCTATAAGTAGCGGCCGCCTTCACGCATCTGCGTTTGATACCACACCTTTATTAAGCCAGCTAGATACTAATCAGTTGCAATGTGCGTTAGTTCAAGCGTTCGAACTTGCATGACAACAGTATGGCGCAGCACATCATGGTCTATGTAATTGCAATATGTTCAATCTTATGCATGCTCAGTGTGTTCACTCGTGCTTCTCAGGTCTTGAACTCAATCACGTGAATGTGGATTAAGAATCTGAGGATATTGGCGAATTTGGATCGGATCATCGTTTGAACTGGGCCCCAAAGTTCTGCACAAGCTGTGGCGGACGTGTGCCAGCTGTGTGCCAACACGAGCTACGAATCCAACGACTTCCTACAGGCGGTGAACGCACCAACTAGAGAATCACGTGTTATTGGACGTCCCAACCTGTTACTGACCCCAGTCCTAGCTAAAAATGTACAACGGGAGAGCTTGCTAGGAACAAAGAGTGGCGTACAGCCAAGCTAGCTGAGAAGCCTTGCCCTTGACGTCGGAACAACCTCTAATTTACCCACAAGCACTCACGCCATTGGCCGCATCAGCAAGTCTTTGCCGTATTGAAAGAATGTCTAGGACCTAAGACAAAGACCTCACACTCGTAAGTTACAATTGCGTTTCGCAACAACACGTGGCACTAGCCCATTGACGCCGTACTTTCCCTACTCTCATCTGCCACCGCTCCAATATTGGAACTAGTCTGGGCTTCTTTCCCCGACAGATCCTACCTCAGAACACGCATTTAATAGTAGGAAACGGGCATCATGCCGTAGGGCAGTCCGTCGGGGACCATACCGTACATGCTGTAATCGTAGGAAGGGAAGGGTTGCGAGACCGGTATATGAGAGACTGGGATGCCTTGGGTGATGGAGACGTTTGATTCCCGCTTGGCAAACCGGCCCTTGACGCGGGGGCGGCTCTCGGCATACGCCTTCCGGCTGGCATACCGGATCGTTTTCTCATAACTGCAGAAAAGTCACGATACAAATAAGCAAGCAGAAGACCCAGAAAAGACGGCCTTTTGAGGATGCGAGACATCCAAGCGTCTCAATTTTAACTGACATTCCAGCGATTTACCAGCCAAGTTCGTGACGACACAACATGACTCAGAGAGGCCTCAAGTCTGTCTAACTATACGAAGGAAGGCACAACATTTGATGTCAACCGTCCTGCCAAAGCAAGAGTCCTTTGCACTTTCAACAGCGCTTACGGCGGCTTAAACTCGGACATCACCGATCTTTTCATAAGTAAAGCACTTGCAATCTGCTCATCCGCTGAATCACTGTTTCTCCAAAAAAAGCCTTCAGAAAAAAACAGCTACTACCTTATCGTTCAAAGAATCTTAGGTGGGTGGCTCCGTGCATGATTGCCAGATAAATCTTTCAAGTCCCATTAGGAACTAGAGTTGAGTTTAGCAGGGGTGACATAAAAGTGAAGAGGCCTCACGTTCTATTCTTGCGCTTCTCCTTGTAGCGGTTCACCCGGGCTTCTCTGTCCATCGGAGGCGCTCCCCCCACGTGCAACAGCCTCTGTGGCATCTCAAACCCTTTCGCAGTATCGCCCTTTTGCACGTCCGCATCGGGGCTTGGCATCGACACCTCGCTGAGGCTGCTGTCCGGCACAAGCGCCACGTCGAAACTGGAGGACGACACCTGGCAGATAAGGATGTGGGTTGAGTGAAAAATGACAAGTTCTCGACCCCTCAGACAAGACTGAATTATAGCTTGATTTCACACGATTTGGGGGGGCGCTAGAATGTGCTCACTGGAGAGACAGGTCAACACAATCTGATGATTGCACCTGACAGGATGACACCTGGCAGACAGAGATGGTTTCTCAACTTCTGATAACTTCTTGCAACCAGGTATCAGCTCCAAGACCGATACATTGGGGAGTGCTTCATGGAAGGGGCAACCAATTGAAGACTACATTGGGAGAATTGAAGCAGGGAAATGATAAATCTCAATGGAGTTTTTTCCAGAAACATTTCCAGCATTTGACTGACAATGTTAGGCTGGGAATCTGCGCACCGATGGCAAAGCATAGGGTGGAAAAGGTCACAGAGAACCTGGAGGACAACACCCAGAAGTACGCAGACTGCTCTAAGGACATCCCTGTCCTCAATCCCCTGAGTGACCCTTATTCATTGAAAAGATGCAGTTAAACGAACAGGACCAAGTGGGCCACTGGTCAGCCCTCTGGCCAGCTGAGAACCTTGCCCACAACTTCACTGAACCTGGCAACCTGCTTCATGATTGTACCCAAATCACAACGACCATCCTTTGCGCATTCAGCTTCTCCAGCCCTGTTCTATTGAGCTGTTTTCATGAAAATGTCAGACCCACTTTCTCAAGTCAGTCTTCTGACTCTCTTTTACCTCTGACGCTTCAGCTAGAGGGTTTCCTTTGCACTAATCTGAGTCGAGCAACAGACGCTTCATTTGATCACAACAGCTCAAACAATCCTTGTCCACAGAAGGTCCTAAGCATAGCATTGTGGCTTCCAACAAACCTTGGCGCACATTTTGCCTCCAGCAATGATGCACTGCTCACAGCCTGGTTCAATTGCCAGCAATTTCCTACAGAAATCCAACCCAGCTCAATCCGACATCCATCCTACAATGACATGGCACAAGCAAGTGACATTCAATATGATTCAGACCAGAATGATTAGAGGGAACCGGCCAGGCAACTCACGCTGTGAGCGAGCTGTGGCACTGCAAAACTGCTCTTTCCCTTTTGGACCACAGGGACTCTCTGCTCCAGAACCTCCCCTGAGCCCCCCAAAGAAGGCACAAGCGCCTCCGCCCTTGGCATCAACCCCGGGTTGACACCAAACCTCGGCCCAGCCTTTACTCCTCTGTGCTTCTCAGCCATGGGGTTAAACATGCCTGTCTCCTGCTTCACCCGCGCCCCCCCATTCACTTGCATCAACATTGGCAGCTCGAATGGCTTTGTCTGCTTAACACAAGGCTGCCGACAGAGGTTGCTCGGAACCTGTCCATCCTGGGACGGAGGGCAAAAGTCGGGCTTATCCACCCCCTCCTCACCCCGACTTCCCCCCTCATCCGGCTTGTTGAGCAGCCAGGAAGCAGCCTCTAGTGCTGAGTCGTCATCCTCTCTACAAAACTGGGGGACCTCCAAAGCCAGCCCCTCAGGAACTAAAGACGGGGGGTAGTGAATGTGAGCAACTTTGACTGCATCTTGGCACTCGTAGAAGGGGGTCACCGGCACGCGCTCGTGTCGCCTTGCGAGGCCGTTTGCTCCATGAATGCTGTTATCGCAGTTGTTGCAAATGAATGCAGAGTCGGCCTTGCAGTTTACAACTGCGGGGAGTGTCTCGCAGACTTCGCACACAAAGACCCGCTCGTGTCTTCTTGCCAGGGGGTTCGCTTCATGGATCACTCTGTCACAACCATTGCAAAGGAAAGCAACATCGGCTCGGCAGTAAACAGTTGCCTTTTGGGACTGACATGCATCACACTGCTTCGGCATTTTGAGAGGCTGAAAGACCAGGGGGGATCTGTCTAGAGACTACCTTGGAACCATTTTTGAACACGTCGAAATGCAGACACTATGGCCTAAATCTTAGGGCTAACAGCCAATTAATCCCTAAGCTACAGACTACCCCGACCCATTTGCACGAGCGTCCGCGCAGAACCGAAAGCACCCCTTGTCAAAAGCAAGGACCAAAGCTCTTGAGCACGAAGAGATCCCTGACAACCCTATCCACAAGCATTCCCCAGCAAGAACCTGCTTTCCTCCCTGGTTTCTCCTTTCCTCCTCTTGCGCGTCTGTAACTTCAACTTGTAAGTTTGACGCGGTCGCTGCAGTCGCAGAGCGGAGTCACCAGACCAATTCCTGCCACAAGAGAGGAGGAAGGAAGCGTGCGGTTTTCTCGTGGCAGAGAAGCCAAGAGCCGTCCTCTGGTTGCAACTCCGCGCTACTCGATCCACTTGCCGGGCAACTTTTCGATATTACAGTTTAACGTCGAACATATATGCAGATAAAATCGGTGGATTAGTTCGACGGAAGCATCGAAAGTGGGGGTCAATTTCCTGATGGTGAGCTGGAGCGAGGGGCGTATCGCGCGTACCGAAGTGGATATCTGACGACGTCAGCGGCGGATCCGCAAGTCATCCTAACCCACAAGAAGCTCCACGAGATCTTTTTCTCGCCCCTGGTTCGTCCGCCTAACATAGCCTATCGGAGCTTTCTGCTTTTGACCCAGAGAATGCTCATAAGCTGATATTCTTTGACCTACTACGGTTCCATAGCAGGACGATGGAAATGCCTATATTGGCTTGCCACTTCCTCTGAGGAAGTAGGCAAACATAGGAATAGGGCCCAGCGACACTGTACGACGCCGTGATGCGGGCCCGCCATCCGAGCTGCTTGGATTGGCTCTGTTCGACGATAAATCGTACGGTACGGCATAAAAAAACTGACTGAATAAAGGTGCGAGATTTTCCTCGACTGGAGTCCCCAAGCGGCGCGGTCAACGCTTACGAATCGAACAATTTGGTCCGAGCGCTGCATGGTGTGAGCTTTAGCGTCACTCTTCGTGCATGTCCGTGCTTGCTCGGTTGGCTGGTACCACCACAAATAGATCCAGAGCGTAAAAATGAGAATTCGGCGATCGAAGCCAAGGCAGCTTATTAACCGTAGATCAGAATCATAATCAAGGGAAGTGGCAAGCCCGGCCTTGCCGTCGCTATGACGGCCACCCATGTTGCAAACGTATTGGAACTTCAAGGCCAGGCATGAAAGGATTCGCCTATCATTATGGCCTATCGCGGCGGCCCGCTGCCTGAGGCAGATGATAAAACCCAGTTGACTGGCGGCATAAGGGCCAATTGTTTCTCATCATAACCAAGTTGGTGATGACAGAATGCTATGTAAGGAACCCCATGGGCTTATGAGTGCCACGTGGAAAAGAAAATTGGATACGTCCCAAAAACGCGGGATTCGTATCTCATACTACATAGGCCATCATTCGTGATCACGGATTGAACACCCTTTTTTGAGGCCTGCCTAGTTGCCGCTTCTAGTGTCTAGACTCTAGAGAGCTGCTGCAGCACGCACAGCTGACCAAATGGCAATGCGACAATTCCATGGTGCCCGGCCCAAGCAATTGGTCTGAATGGTGGCGCTAACTTTGGTATGCTTTTGAGTTGCTGAGCTGATTCTCTTGTAGAAGATCTTTCTCAATCAAGAAGAGGTAGAAACAAGTGCAAGATCTCATGCATTGACAGTGAGCATTATAAGTCCTATCAGGTAGCAACGGAGCTTCATTTTCCAAGTTTCTGTGCCAATTGCAGCTGAAGTGGATCGAACAGGGCGCTTAGTATAGAAAGAAAAGCTGGGGACTGTCCTGATAGCATGGAAAACAAATCTGCGTCAGGTAGCGTGGACACCAACGCGGTGCCAGAAGATGTGACAAGGGAAAGCAAGGCGAAGAAGATCATAATTGACACGGACCCAGGCATTGGTAAGCGCAGCTAAGAAACATTACCAATTCAACAAGATCCTGGCTGAATCCAGCTGATATTCTGGCTTTTGATTCGAGGGTCTCTGTTTCTAACATTCATGAAGAATGTGTGAGTCTGTGCAACTTCAACCATTCCAATTCAACTTCTCGCTGATCCTTCTCCCAAATGTGCCAGATCGTTATTGGAAAGGCTGTGCTTTCTTGGGGCTATGAGAACGTTTTTATCATTAAAAACCAAGGGAACCCTAGTTGATTAATCCTAGCTCCTCTGCTGACTTATCGAGGCAATGCTGAATCCTTTGGATGTGGTTGTTCCCTCAGCTGCACTCTAAGCTAGCTTGTATAGACAGTTTCAATGAAATTCTGGGGGTAGCGACTTTCTTGCAACTCAGTCAGAGTCTTTGAATCAAACTATTCTCCACTTTGAGCAAGACCACAGACTTTAGATACATGAGCCCTTTATCCTTTACAACCAAGTCAGGTCAGTCGAGCACCTTTTGAGTTGGTGCTCGAGAGGAAGCAGATGGAGCAGCTCCCTCGTACAAAAGCTTTTCGGTAGAACGCGCTACGTTATATTGCTTATTTGAAGTACACGAATGTGCAATATGGATCAAAGTGGGTGTTTGAACGAGCATTGAAGCTTGGCCATTCGGCCTGGGATAATTGAAATCCGTACATGTATAGCTCTGATGGCCAAGCTTGATCTGACGTTCAGCTAAAGGTTAGCCAAGCTTCTGACTGACACCTACACATACACATACACATACACATTCTGACTCTTGCGTGGCCATCCTTGAACCGACTGTACTACAATCTAGTACATAGTTTAAACTAGATTAAGCTCATAAGTGCGAACCACTTAATCCAGATGCCCATCACCTTTCAAACTCAATCTGCAGATGATGCCATGGCGATTCTGATGGCGTTCAACTCCCCCGAGCTCGAGGTGCTCGGTCTGACAACCGTGTTTGGCAATGTGACGACGGCCCTCGCAACCACAAATGCACTGCACTTGTGCGAGGTTGCGGGGCAGCACGCGATCCCTGTCGCACAGGGGGAGCCCCGTCCGCTTTCGGTGAGTGACGCGGCTCAGTAATGAAAAGAGAAGGATTGTGTCGAGGATCCAGAAGTTTCTTGGGGCGCAGGGAGCAGTTTCCTCTTTTGCATCACGTTAAGAGATGTTGCTTCTTGTCGGTGAGTTGCTTTACCCTCAAGATTGATCCTATTATCAGTCATTGCGATACTGTACGACTCAACTTTGGCTTCGATCCTGACTACTGCACTTTCCTATCGATCGTCTCTTGTCGATCCTATTTCGTCAATCAACATAAAGAGACTCTATCTATACCCCACGGCGACTTGCTGACTTTACTCCTCTCTTGAAGGGCGAGGAGCCGTTGCCTGCGGACTTTGTGCACGGAACCGACGGCCTTGGAAACACGAATCCAGCGGCGCCATCTGGGAGGGCGCACGAGTCGGCTGCCGTTGACTTTCTAATAGCGGCTGTCAACAAATTGCCTGGCGAAATAACGGTCGTTGCATTAGGCCCCTGTACAAACATTGCCAAGGTATTGGACAGCTTACATCCAGAAAGTCCTCCATCTCTATCAGGTCGTGGCTGGCTGAGTGTCGGAGCCGTTTTCTCCATTCTCCCCGTTGTGCTTTTGCCTCGCCCTTCGTTTCGTATATGTAGGTGAACCCCTCTGTTCGTGCTGCTTGGCAAAAAGTATCCTGGAAGCCTTCGAGTTTCCTGTTAATCCTGCTCGAATGATAAAGCGATGAGGATTTCTGAGGATGAGCCCATTATATTTGACAGATGCAAATTACGGAGCTCCGAAGTACTGTGGAACATGAGAACCGTGTCTATCTTACGAAGTTGTTCGCATCGTCTTGTGGAGTCCCTAGTACGAGCAACTTCATTAGTCCACCTGTTCTTATTGTCGACCGCCTTTTGCTGAGTCCCGAGTCCTTTTCATAACCAACTTCCACCACCAGCCGTTGCTTGACATTGAGAGCACGAAACCCTTATACTGCTCCAAACGTTCCGTGTGTCTTCACTTTCATCGTGAATCTCGTCGCTCACGCTGGAGAAACGGAGAGTGAGTAAGATCGAGATGCACAACAACTTTGGCAAGCTCGCTTGTACATTTTCGTCTCTCACTCTGCTGCAGGCAATCCAATTAGACCCTAGCTTCGCCAAAAAGGTCGCCCAAATTGTGTTCCTGGGGGGCTGCTTCTTCCGGAGCGGGAACGTGAATCCAGCCTGCGAAGCCAACGTTTTCTGCGACCCAAAGGCCGCAGATGTCGTCTTTACGTCCGGCGCTGACGTTCTAGTAGTGGGGCTCAACGTCACGGAGCGGGTGGTGCTGACAAGTACGCGCACTTGCTTCCTTTCTTGTCCCTTTTTCTTTCTCTCCCTTTTGCCTTTCTGTCTGCTCTAAGGTTCTGATTGCCTTTCCGTTGTTTTCTGACGAACCTAGTCTTTCTCGCGTTCTTTCGCATTTATGTCAGCGACCATCTGCCCATTGTCAAGCCTTTCGCATCGTAAGCTCGATCGCTTGAAACGCATCATTCGAGCGAGAAAACTTGGTAACTCCTACCCATCTGTTAATCTCGGTCGTTGCACGCTGAATCTTGAGAACCACTGCGCACGGTCTAGTCGATGCGACCCTCACTGGACACCACCCTGCCTTCGGACTTGTCAGCCATCTTGAGCACGACTTGCCGCCGTTTCGCAGCATCGGACCTCGAACGGATTGGCAACTCGGGCACCAAGTTCGGGCGGTACATAGCGGAGGTCGTCAAGTTTTATGCGGAGTGGCATCTAAAGTCAGACCATCTACAAGGTGAGCTTAAATTTGTACTGCTCAACCGTTGCACCAGGACATACTAAAACTCTCCTTTACCTCCTCACGATTCCGTATCCACCACAAATGACCAGTTTCCGAAGCCACTCGTTTGAATCTGATGTTCGATGTCCTGCAAAATTCAGGGCGCGCAGCGAGTTTCACTTTCGTGTTTCTCTCATTTCACTGAGCTTTCCACTCTGAAATACTTTCATTGAGGCGGCTGTCCACTCCGATCATTGTCAACCGCAAGAAAGACACGCTAGACCCTGATGCTTAAGAGCATTCCGCAGGGAATACTCCTTTGAACCGCTTATAGATCGCTTATGTCAGAAACCAACGTGCCCCTAATGCTGCCAGCTGTCCCGTGCAGGTATATTCGTCCACGACCCTTCCGCAATGACTGCGGCGATCGACCCGTCGCTGTTCTCGTGGAAGGAGGGCGTTGTGCGGGTTGCGGAGACGGGGCTCTGCAGAGGGCACACGTTGCTAGACATGGGGACCAAAAAGTGAGGCTCGCACCACGGTTCTGTGGCACTTGACTGAATGATCGTGTTCGCTTTCTTGATGAAAGTTTGAAAGTGGGAGAGCCGAAGATGACGTATCGACCTGCGCTCAAAACAAACAAGGCCAGGAGCAGTACAACTAGCACTTCAAGAATGGAGCAAGTTTGCGTACCTGTTTGATTCTACAGAGAAAAAGTGAAGCGAAACTCGCTTCGTCTTTTTGGGGCTTCACAATCCTATCAGATCGCGGTTAAGTCCTCCCTTACGGCTGGCCACATCATCTTTTCACCTTTTCCTCTCCTCCCTGCTGAAATGGTCACGCATTCATTACGCAGGTGGGGCGAGAATGGGAACCCGTGGGTGGATCAGCCGAAGGTCAAGGTTGCGTTGGATGTTCGAGCGGAAGAAGTGAAACGGTTGATCATGAACCGACTAATGTCGGAAACAACTTAGTGCCCCTGCCTGCTGCCGTAATGTTTGAACCTCTAGTTGAAGTATGTTCGGCGCCCTGAGTTTTACATTCTCCAATATCTTGAGAGTCATTTTGAAGGTATGCTTTATGGTGAGATTGGTTAGGTAGTCACTATAGTAGTCACTTATGTTCCTCCGCAAGACATGCTGAGCCAAACACGCCTTTAATGTGGTATCTAGGTTCAAGGTAAGTTGGGGGCTCCCCCTTGGTAATGTAGGTGTGGCCAAACGAGGATATGGGGCCTCACAGTGAAACCCGTGTTACGGATTAATGATTGCTGAATAATATCTTTCTATACTACAGGCGGCTGTTACATTGATTTGTTTGATCCTCGATCTGACTTCAAGCGGCCTATGCACACAAAACCAGCACTCTATGCACATATCTTTCTTGAAAGCAAAGCACTCACCAATTGTTGCCGCCTGCTCAATGCACCGCCAACCCGCTTTAGCATAAATATGCTGTCCATGACCATTCGTCTAGCTTTCCCGGCCCTCTCGACTGCATGCAGTTTTTGGACCGTGCGCCTTTCAATGTCCCTCTGGTGACTGTGCGGTTGACACGGTACCATGGCCCTCGCGGCCGGACCCGCTTCCGGGCACCAGGCTTGTTACGGCCCATGCTCCAAATAGGTAAACGTATAGACTTGGCTTGTCCGTTTCAGATCATTAGTCTCGTCCAGGCATGGAAGCACGTGCTCGGAAGAAGCATGATAGAAAGGATTAACCATGCAGAATCAGTAATTTGAGATATACAAGGCAAGGTACATCACTCAAAATAAAGTGCTCGCGCTTCCAAACTGCTCCGAGCGCATTTGATAAAATTGACAGTCATGATCGTAATTGCAACGAGATTGTGGACGATCATGTCTCTTTTCAAATACGCCGTAGTCAATTTCGCCATAGCCTCCTTCTCATGGCATACGGTACATAATACATATTGTTATTGCGTGTGACCATTATTAGGTAGATAAATGAGCACGAGCTTACTGGCTTTTGATGTGCATACGGTATTATGACGTCATAGGCTATCCAAAGTGGCCAGCTGTCATCGCTTCAGCGTGTGCCACCTGGCGAAGGCTGGCAAGAGCTAGAGGTGACAGCTTGAATGAAATTGTGAGAGGATCGAAGGAATCAGAATTTGCAAGCTCAGGCGGCCCATGTCACTGAAGACTGTGAAGTATAGGGAGTTCTTTCCCTGGTGAAAGCAACTGCCTGGCACAAACACGCTCTAATACGCAAGCATTCAAATTTCAGCCTCCGCTTGCGCATCCGCCAGCATGCTTTCTGTCTGGCAATGGCTCCTCATCGGAGTCGTCTCGTTCTTCCTCCCCATGTTTTTGTATATACCTATGATGTTTTTTGGGATGAAGTCCATGGGGGTGGAAAGGAGGACAAAAGGTTCTTTCGGATTCTTTCACCCATTCACCAATGACGGAGGGGGCGGCGAGCGTGTGCTGTGGTGTGCAGTGAAAGCAGTTCAGGAGGAGTGCCCACAGTCAGATGTAAGACAGTGTCCTTGAGTTCTGTTTGTGCGCCAAAATTGCGTGCTTACCAGAATTGTGTCTGTTCTTGCTAGCATGCTTTTCAAGTTCTTCTAGTTTGAAAACCTCGGGGTGGAAATTGCAGGGACTGGAATGAGCACCTAAGAGTTTCAATCAGATGGAATGCCATCGTTTTCAGCCCTCTTTTTCAAGATTCACTGTATCCTTTCGCTGCTCAAAATTTCAGCATGTTGTGAATAAGTTGGGTGCTAAGGCAGGATCATTGTGTGCTTACCAGAATTGTGTTTATTCTGGTAAGTGTGTGTTTGAGCACCTATATTACAACAGTCTCAGCAGAGTGTTCAAGTTAAGTCCTTTGTTGTTGTTGTTGTTGTTAAGTCCTGACGAACACAGAAAAAGGAGCGTCGTCATGGCGCTTTCCCAATGAGCGATGCTGATAGGTCTGCTTTCAAAGTGACCTCATTAGGGCATTAGGGCTTACTTTGCTCCCAGGCGCTAACCCAAGTGGCTCTTTCGCCTCGAAATGCATTTATTGTTTTGATCAATCCAATACAAATATTGACGTACCGTACTGCAACGTCACCTCCCGCAATCAGTCAGAGAATTATCACAACACACGGTTGCGCAGGTCATCATATACACTGTGGACATGGCGACGCCCGAGTCTTTGGCTGCAAGAGCCGCAGACAAGTTTGGCGTGAAACTGCCCCAGCCTCTTTCCGTAAGCCAAACTTCTATTCTTCCTGCTCTTCTGAAGCTCTCGTTTACTTGTTTTCCAACTCTGCAATCTGCTGCGCCAAAGCGTCCATTTGACCCTGGTACTTCAAAGGAGGCGGAGCTAGCACTCCAGTATTTCCAACCGTGATGTCATGAACAGAGAAGCTGATTCAGTGAGGCTCACATGGGCTCACTGGGTAAAAGGAAAAGAAGTGTTGGATGCGTGGACCAGAATTGTATTGGTCAGTGCATCTGATTATCAGGGGCCGAACGTGAAAGCAGCCCGCAAGATGAAAGCACATGCTTTGGAGTGCATTACCCCGCAGCGAGCTTCAAAGGAAGACATGTCTCCAGCAATAGCCAATCATCAGGAAGCTTCATTCAAGGTGTTCTGACATATGAGAATAGCAGCCATTATCCCAGACTGGCGTTCAGAAAACGTTTTGTCCAGATGCCCTTGTTCTTGTCATTTGCTGTTGGAAGACTGTGCCCTTCAAAAGGCCGACTACCCAATCCATCCACTCAGACTTGATGCTAAAAGAACGGCGAATCACACTGTGACAGGTGGCGCGACTCTTTCGCCGCTCCTGGATTGAAGCCAAGTCGTACCCGCGCTTAACTATTTTGGGTCAGAGCCTAGGTTCCATTGTCTTGGCCTGGGAGGCGCTCAACCTGTTCATGCCGGAGGTCTTCATTGACACCAGTGGTTACGCCTTCACCTACCCGCTCGCCCGTGAGTTTCACCGGTGTGACGTTGCTTGCATCTCGTTAAATCGAGTTCGGCCGGGTCATAACTACGCTGTCTTACGCACGGACTACCTGTGTTAGCTGGCAGGTAGTTTTGTTCCTCACCACAGCAAACGACACGTGTCAGCTTTACCATGTTTTCTCGTTTCTGTGTGCAAACTGTTCGGATCCTTTTGATGTCCCATCTCTCTCTGCTTAGAACTTCAGGGTTTGTCAGCGCAGGGACTGCAATACGCGGCTGTTGGTATCCAAAAAGAACACATCAGTTTGTACCTTGAGACATTATGCTCGCATTGGAAAGAAGCCGGGGCTGTTTGGAATACCGTCTTGCTTGCTTCCTTGGATATCTGGCTTTCCCGTTACAACATATCGAAGACATTGTGCTGACGTCACTTTGAATAAGGAACACGCTCTTAGAATCATGCGGGTATTTATTTACCCCGTTGCGCAGGCCTCTTTGGCTGCCGAGTCGTGAGTTACACCCACTACCCGACGATCAGCCTCGACATGCTGACACGTGTCAAGTCCCGACGCGCTCTGTACAACAACGACCAGGCCATTGCGCAGAGCGGGCTTCTGTCAGGCGTCAAAGTTCAGTATTACCGCCTGATGGCGTTTCTGTACGGATTGGCTGGAGCGCGAGCGGATGTAAGTCACTGATTTCATCGAGAACTGTCGTTAAATTGCATGGTTGAAGGTTTTTGGTCACTGATTGGGCTTGTCGAACTTGGGAAACGGTCCGATATTGCAAAGAACAGAGTTTAAAGTTTGCGAAGAATGAGCGTGAAATTTTGGTATTCCCGCCTGATGGCTTTTCTGTTTGGATTGGCTGGAGCGCGAGCGAGTGTGAGTCGACAACGTTCACTCAGAAACGTGGCCAGTTGCATGGTCGAACGTTTTTGGTCACTGGTTTTGCTCACCAATTTGGAGAAGCGGTCCGAGATTGCAAAGAGCAGGATCTTAAGTTTCCAGAGACTATGCGTGGGCCCCAGGCCGATGTTCAACTGTGCTTTGCAATCACGCTTTCACTTTGCAGAAGCTTTAAGCTTCTAGATTGCCATACAAGCGTGATTTTGTGCCCAGATTATATGGTGGTAGACAAATAGACTTTGCCTCGAGGCACACGGCGATCATTGGTGTAACTTTGGTAGCACCGTAGACACGTTTTGGGCGTCGCCTAGAAAAGGGTCCTCCTCTTATTGGAGCTCATCCCTACGCCCAAAGCCCAAACCTACAACTTCTATTACGGGCAGGTAAGTAACCGACTGCGAATGATTAGAGCCAGTCTTTTGGCTGCCTTCGCAGCCAGTGTCAGCCTTTGACCGAGTGTTTCCACCTTGGTTTTGACATGATTTGTGCGCTGCTTCAGGTTGTGATGGTCAACTCGAGTTGGACTGAGGCGCACATCAACGGCATCTGGAAGGTCCCCCAACGGACGTTCCGAGTTTTCCCACCGTGCGACACGGAGTCTTTGCAGGTGAGTGAGAATGCGCTCCATATTCTGACGACTAAATGTGCTGCATTGAATCGCACCTTTGACTGCCACACAATGAGCGTCCAGACTTGGAAAGCGCTGGCAAGTAAGAGGCGGGTTGTTAACGGGAAAGTGCAATCTCGAAAGAGGTTGCGCAAACTTCGCTCCAGAGCATTGAGCTTTACTTCAACTTCTGATTTGGATACTTTGAATTCTAGAACTTCAGAACAGAATTGATTACTCCGGACTAGGGTAAGTGTGTCATGCCTCTGCGTGCCGTTATGTTGACGGCTTCCGTTCCACCTCCAGGCGTTGCCGTTGGAGCGACCCGAGAAGGGACGGTACCTGCTGTCGGTCGCCCAGTTTAGGCCGGAAAAGGTGGGCTGCTCTTTTCGATGAAGCTGTTCCGTCGCTCCCGTTTCCAAGTAACATTAGTTGTTGCTATTAGGCGTGGAATCCGCGGTTTCTTCTCTGCAAGGTTCTGAAGTGAGTAGCAGGTTGGACATAGCGGTTGTCCAATGAAAACCAGGCCCCGATTGCTGCCAAGTAGAGCAGATTCACGGAAAGTGGAATGCCAGGCTGCTCACTAGGAATTGATTGGGCGGCCCATCTTCATTATAGAAGTGACTTTCTGCAATGGGCACAATTCCTGATCGTCACCGGGTACGAACATCAAATAATCTTCAGCAGCTTTAGTATCTGCAAAGCACGCAAATGAAGGAAAACCTAATGTGGAAAAGAGTTCAGTCAAGATACAGCCGACACACTGTTGACGTTGCATCTCTTCTCTCCTCGCAGGACCACCGTCTTCAGTTGAAAGCGTTTGCCGCAGCCCTCAATAAGGCGTCCGGCAGAGAGGCGGGGGCTAGAGGGAACGACTTTTCCGTGGACTGGCGCTTGAAACTAGTGGGGAGCAGTCGGCACAAAGAAGACGAGAAGGTCAGATTTCCTTCTGTGACGTGCTATCTACTCGCCTGTTGCGCCAGCACCTATCCTCAAAGTTGCTGACTAGTGTGGCTTTCCAACGGTGCCAACAGGTTTTCGTGGTACTTTGAACCTAGACTTTCTTAAAGATACGTTACAGATTGAGTTTTCAATTGCCTGTGGAGCTCCCGATAGGATCAATCAGCTTCTGCTGCATTGCAAGTGGGCCATAAATTTGAACTTCTGTGAACAGGCTGGAACGGGATTGAGCGACGGCTTTCGTATGGAAGCTAAAGTGAATCATGTCCGGGCGCTATTCAGAGCCTTTTCGATGGCGGAGAGCTTCTACCCGAGAGCAGACGTTCAAGAAAGGACGAGATGCAATGATTTTTAGCTGGATGCGCAAAACTCTCCAAAGCTGGTGTTAGAAAGAGTAGTCGACACGAGGTAGCGTTTGGAAGCTTTTTGAAGTATGTAATCAAGATCAAGAAAATGCGTAGGTGAGCAATCTGCACACAGCATCAGGTTGAACCCCTAGAATGACTTTTCCAGAGGATTGACGACCTCCGGGCGCTTGCTCGGGAGCTCGACATCCCTAATTACAGAGCAAGAGATTTCAGAATGGTCCTTAAATCTCGAGTAAGGAGGAGCAAGTCGCAGTTGGCTGATCTACATACAGCCCCAGCCGAACTCCCCAATCCGTGTCTGCAGAGGATAGACGACCTTCGCGCGCCGGCCCGGCATCTCGGCACGTTCCAAACCTGGTTCTGTAACCACGGCAGTCCAATTCACAGCTTTAAAAGTGTGGAATTATAAGGATTCCAATAATAGGCGACTGATCTATACACTGCCTGGTTAAGAGCCTCTGACCTTCTTTCTGCAGAGGATAGATGACCTGCGCGCGCTGGCCCGGGAGCTCGGCATTGCCAACCGGGTGGATTTCCACGTCAACTCGCCCTACTCGGAGCTGCAGAAATTGCTCGGGGGGGCGTCCGCCGGGCTGCATACGATGCTCGACGAACACTTCGGGATCGTGGTGGTTGAGTATATGGCCGCAGGGGCGGTGCCGATTGGTGAGTTTCTAGCATTTTGAGGTTTTAGACTTCAGTCTTTTGGAATCTAAATCTCGGATTCCAGGGCTTTTTCGCTCAGGTGTTCCTGGTTTTGCAGAATGTTAGTTGTGCGCATATCACAAAGCTTTCTCTGGAATTGTGGTGATTTGATACATCACTACGGGGGCGGTCCCTCTCGTTGAGATGTGGAGTCGAGGGCTTCGTTGCCTGAAGTATCTCCGCATTTACGGAGTTCGCTCTTTTAAGGTTCTCAGCAATTCTCTCAAAGGACGTCGGAACTGTGGTGGTCGAATACGCGGCTGCACGGGCAATCTGCATTGAGACTTACGGGGCTTCTCAGCGTCTCCATGTTTTCAGATTTTGGGCATCGGAATGTGTCAAGAGTTTTGCAATGCACTCGCTGGGATCGTGCCATTAGAGGGTTGCATATCTCCGATGTGTGGCATCAGGAAACACTATGCAGGCTCCGGTGATACTTCCATCTCCTCGTTAGGAGATGATCCGAAAAAGAAGCACTGCTTTACTCATGATCGAACGGCTCGAAGTCGCTCTGCGTGAGGGATCTCTGCGGAATGGCCTCACTGCCTCTTTGGCCTTCCTTTCGCTTCTCGCAGCATCTTCTTTCAGCTAGAACTTGTGTTTTCTCCGCATGACGTAAGAATCGAGCTGTCATTTACGAAAATTAGACACATTTTCGTCGACCTGACTGTAGTAAATATGCGACGTACGGAAAAAGGTGTAGCAAGTTTGTACCGCACTTCAGATTTCGCCTCCCTCTTAAGCCGCAGATCTTCGTGTACTGCTCTCAAGTGACAGTGTACAGACTCCACCATCGTTGATTCCGTTCCGTTCATCCCGCCTGCAGCCCACAGATCCGGCGGACCTCAGGCGGACATCGTCGTGCCAGTTCCGCAAGTGGGCCTGCTGGCGGAAACGGTCGATGAGTTCGCAGAGGCTATCCACACCGTGCTCAAATGGCCCGAAGCTAAGCGGAAAAGCGTGGCCCAGGCGGCGCGTGAAAAGGCGAAAGAGTTTTCGGGGGAGCGCTTTACGACGGATTTTAAGAGGGCAGTTTATCCGGTTCTGCCAAATGACAAGAAAGCCAAGTAACGTCGCAGTCGTACTGCTTCATCAATCCAGATCTAAAGAAAGGGACAAGCTTTTGATGCTTGGCCAGAAGAGATCAGCCCGCAAACCGGCCAGTGTTGAACGTTCTGAATTGTCAAAACGGGCCGCCCGGCCCGAGGTAAAGTAATGATTGACTTCTTGCAAGCGTATGTTTAATATAAATTAGTAATAAAAGGAACTGCAACTCGGAGTGGCGCGGTTTGCCGCAGTTTTAGCGCCATGGATCCCGTCACGGTGGTAGGGAAGTCAGTGACTCGAAATGGACGGCTGCAGCGCAAAATCTTTTGATCGACTGCCCATGTTTCATGCAAGCAAGCATGAATGCAATAATGTTCGAACGTTCAGCGTTCAATCAGTCATGTGCAGCATGCACTGTGAATGACAGTGGAGTTCTCAGGTTTGTACTGTGACATGCAGTGACGTATCATGCGAAACTATATAACATCAGTATACATGGTCGGAACAATATATCCTCCAACTGCACGACACTCTCATGCAGCTCTCCATTCTCCAACTTTTCAAAGGTAATCTGGATTCAGAACGAATGATCAAGCTGTGCATGGCCGTCACAATTTACCCCGTGACGGTCGAGGATGGATCGAAGGATTGTACTAGCTTGACGGAGAATGGCTTTTGGCTGTTCCAATCCGGTCTTGGCACTAGTAAAACACTCTTCACGGAATCAGGTGTTGCCACCTCGGCAGTTTGCGCAGTCTGCCGAGCTACAGTTCGCGCCGGGCACTCTATATATAAACCAATTGCCTACGTTATCCACTGGCAGACCTTAATTGGCAAATTTTACTCCGGCGCTATTGAAACGTCGAAAATCACCTAAGACCACTTTCACGTCTCAATGTGTCAGTTGCATCAAATGCAACGGTACGTGCCACCTGTCAAGGCTCACGCGGGGATCCAAGGGCCTCCATTTATTGTCTTGATGCTCTGTTGCATGATAACCTCATGCCATTCACTAACAGAAGACCCTTTGAGAAACTCGGCAACCATTGGCGCGACCAGGCAGAGACCGCTAGAATCTTAATCTCAACCGTAACCTTCAGCGGTTACGCGCACTGCGGGTCGCCAGCAAGGTTGGGGCCGCACGCACCGGTGCAGCAAACGAAGACGGTTCCGCTTGCGTCGTAGCACTGATGCACAGCAAGAGAGCAATGCTATCAGCTCGGAAAAGAAGGGGAAAAGAAAAATGATCGTGGTGAAAAAAATCTGAAACCGTGTTCCGTCATAGCATTGATACACGGCAAGAGGAAAAGTCTTAGCTCAAAAAGGAAGGGACATCGTGTCTTGAATCAGGCCCAATCGTTTGCGAAGGGATTCGAAAACGGACTCCCGTCTTAGCATTGGTGGCACAAGGGAGAGCGTTAGCTCGAGAAGGAAGGAAAGGGTAGGAAGTATGTTCGGTTTAGGTCGTTTGTGAGGCAATTGAAAAACGGTGTCCCCTTTTAGCAATGATGGTAAGAAAGAACGTATTAGCCCGGAAGGAAGAGAAACAAAAGGAGAATCTTGTCCGCTTCGATATAGGTCATTTGTGAAGGTGTTCAACACCGTGTTACATTGCCTTGGTGGCAGGAGAGAAAGTCTTAGCTCGAGAAGGGAGAAAAAGACAAGGGGGATAGGATGTCGGCTTATTGAATCTTTTGTGAAGGAGACCTAAACGTACTTTGTCATAGCACTGACGACAAGGAAGAAAGTGTGAGCTCGAAAAGGAAGAGAACGAGAAGGGAGCGAAGGATCATGTCAATCGTCGTCGTTAAGGGCTCGAGTAGGATAGCGTATGGTGCTGGCAAGTACAACAAAGAGACCGTACAAAGACCCTGGAAGGCTAACTCAAGCTGCTCTTGACAGCCCAGTCAGATCAACGCACGACGTCTTAAGAAGATGCCGCCACCGTCTCTTGAAAACGAAGTGAGATCTCTCAGCACTGAGAGAAAAGGATAAAAGCGAACGCAATAACGAGAGGCGACTGGAAACCCAGCGCTTACATCGAAGATTACCCACCAGAAGAAATCGAATTTCGCTTTCGCCAGTGTCGGTGATGAACCGGAACTCCGGTCAAAACGACCGGCACAACGAAACCAATTCCGCCAAGTTCGAAACAGCACTGAATGAAACTACATCCGCCATCTTCAAAACGGCATTGCCAGAACGGAGCGCGCTCTTTCAGACCTGGTTGGGAATGGAGGACGGGTCGCAGGTTCCCCCGGGGGTGCTCGTTGGCGCCCGTTCCAGATCGAGCTCTGGTCAAAATCAACCGGATCAACGGAGTGCAACCCGCCGGAGAAAAAAAAGGCATTGTCAAGAGTGCCCACCTGGTTGGGGAGATTGGAGGACGGGTCGCAGGTTTCCCCGGGGGGACTGGTCGGGAAAGGTTCAAGATCGACAAGGCTGAACTGCGCCTCTACAGGGACGGTTGTGATCTGGGCGAGAAGCGCTTGCACCTGCGCAGAAGTATCGATTTTATGTTGAGATAGGTATGGGGGGAATCAGGGTGGCTACGGCTGCCGAGCATGTTAACTTTGGTTGACGGAAGGGGTTTATTGTTTGGCTGATGAGCGCGTATCCAGGGACGATTGTAATCTGGGCGAGAATTGCCTGCACCTGCGCAGCAGTATTGATCTTATGTTCAGGTGACGGTATGTTGAGTTAACAGCATTTTGGGTTTGGCCAGAGGACGGGTTGGGTTGAATTGGCGAATCAGGGTCGTCACATTTGCGAAAATTGTCAACTTCGGGTTACGGTTCACGTTTAGTTTGATTAAAGAGCGCCTCTACAGGGACCATTGTGATCTGCGCAGAATTTGCCTGCACCAGCGCCGCAGCAGTGTCGATCCTACTTTTCAGTTAACCGTCTGTTGGTGTAACCCCATGTTGAGTCTGGTTACTGGCCAGCGGGGTTGAGTGGGCGGATCAATATCGTCGCAAGTGCGAAAGATGGTAACTTCGGTTTGCGTTTGAAGTTTTGTAATTGATGAAGTAGCGCCTCTATAGGGACCGTCGTGATCTAGCCAAGGCTTGCCTGCACCCGCGCCGCATGATCGAGCTTATGTTTAAGTGCGTGTATTTTGGGTTGATTGTAGGATGCTACTTTGGATCCCCTCATTTTACACGGAGTTAACGGCAGGTTGATTCAAACGTCTGTGGAGTTGAGGTTACTGCCAGCGTATGGGTGTGGTTAGGTCAAGAGTACGCGTACAAGCACGTTGATCTCGTTCACCGCCCATCTTACAGAAAATCCATTCAGGTTATAACCCGGGTACGTGAACGTAAAACCTAACCTTCACTTTCACGCGCCCCGCACCCGCACCCACCCCAACCACCCGACTAACCCTACCCGTCCACCGGGCGCCTGTCTACGTGAATTGCTTCTTAAGTTAGATGAAATTAACACCAGAGTACGAGACTCCTCACCTGCTCTTGTAGGGCTGGGTTGGGCGAAAGCACAGCAAGATCCACATTCTCGGTGATGAAGGGTGGCAGTTCGCCTTCGACGGTCGGGGCCACGCTGACTTGGGCGACGGTGATCTCTCCGGGAGTGCCTGCAAGCAACCAGGAAGCGACACGTGTCAGCATCTGTCAGGTTTTGGAGAACTGAAAGGCGGCAGCATCTGATAGGTTCTCTAGAATTACAGAAACGGGACAGAAGCCGGGTTTGCGTTGATGTCAGTCACGTGGGTGGCTGCAAGCGACTCAATCAGCATTGCGGTTGGACTTCCGAAATTTGTTCCTCCCCGTGTTCTAGTCCGATTTTGCTACGCGCCATTCTCAAGAGGATGGAAAGCCACCCCCTCTATCTCCTTCCGGATTGGTCGATCCAACACCTCCCCCTCACATTACTTCATTTCCTGAAACGGAAGTGCGTTCCCCGCAAGAAAAGGCAAAGCCCTAACGCCCTACAACATGCGGAAGGCGAGCTCACCAACGGCGACGTTCTGGTAACTGTTTTGGCGGATTGGACCGGTGACCACGCCGCGAAGGTCGTCGATGTTGGCGTCCAAGTCCAGCAGGGACGGGAACGGCGAGCCTGCAGTGAGAATGACGTATTTTTCGTCAGCGTTCTGCTTGATGCTGACGTCAGCACTCGGAGAATGATTCGTGTCGGCGAGCATTCGTCGATGTTGGCGTCTAAGTCCAGCAGGGACGGGAACGGCGAGCCTGCATCACATGATGACGTAGTCTTCGTCAGCATTTGACCATCTGGTTGATGCTGACGTCAAAAAGTTACGGACCATCTGAAAGGTCGTCGATGTTGGCGTCCAGGTCCAGCAGGGATGGGAACGGCGAGCCTGCAACACGGATAGAGTATCTTCCGTCAGGAATCAGGCGGTCTGCTCGATGCTGACGTCAGCAACCGAAAAATACATTTGCACGTAGCCGTTGAGCATCCGTTGGCGTCCAAGTTCAGCAGGGACGGAAAC